TACTAGGCATAAAGAAGAGATCTTGTTTTGGGTTGTAGTTGTTCAGGCCCATACCTACCCACCACCACTAGGTTAGAAGTACATATCAAGGGCCTTGAATTTACTTCATAAAAATCATAGAAAAGTGAAGTTGGAAGGGGCCTACAAGGCCATCATGTCCAGCCCCCTGCTCAATGCAGGAATACAATCAAAGCATATCTGCCAGGTGATTATCTACCTCCAACAATATAATCAAAAACATCTAGGCCCGTTTACTTATTCACCTGCTGATGTGATTTATGCCATCTTTTGCTAGGAGTTATCCTCTGCATTTTTTAGGCAATTGGAGCAATATCTAGGCAATAGAATAAATGGGCACAAATCTGACAGCACAAATGGTAAAACACAAAAGACACTGTAAGAACTCTGCAACTTCCCAAGACATTATGTTGCTGAACTGAAAGTGATTGCTGTAAAACCTGCCTGCCTACCTACCTACCTAAGCAAGCAAGCAAGCAAGTAAAGAGAGATTAGCAAGCATGTACACAATTCTTTAATATGTCTAAAGGCCCGACTCTGGTCTCAGAACCTGAGGTTGAGTCAAAACACAAGTTGCTTCCAGGTTCAACATCTTTGCATTTCAAATACCAGCCTATACAGATAGACTGTCAAGGGTCAGGATGTTTATATGATCAACATTCTCAGAATGAATTATTTATGCTAATAATGCTATTATCACTTCAAACATTCATTTTCTATTCCTGGATCTCCACCCTCCAGTGTGTATTGTATACAAATCTATAGCTTAATATTTTGCTCCTTATGTCTGAGGAAGTGGATTGTAACCTACAGAAATCTACATTGATATAGATCTGTTACCCAGCAATCAATGCAAAGGGAGAAGGTGTCAGAGAGTAGTGAGAGGATAGCTGAGGTTTCATTTAAAACACCTGATAATTCTTCAGAAACTCTATTTTAACACTAAGCTTATTGGGAAAAATGAGTTGGGCCTACAATGGCTCATTTTAAACTGTGATCAAGGAATCCATTAAAGAATGTACTTGAATCAATCTCCTTCACTTGTCACTGAAAAATCTGTGCAGTGCCTATAAAGTAGCAGCAATTAACCCTTTAACCAGGCCAACCTGACTTATCACCTTTAACCTGCCCTGTCCTTTTCCTGGGCTTGGCTTAAGCCCAAATAATAAGAGCTAAGCAGTTTTTAACTTGAACATAAAATTGTGTTATTTCTTTTAAAAGCATAATTGTTATATGGTACATTAGTAAGCTTGAAGTTACATGTGTTCTAAGAATCAACTTTCCCATACCTGAACTAGCTCTCTCTGTTACAAAGTTATACAGCTCCCTGGAAAACCCAAACTTCTGTCTTGATATACAGTCCAGTCTAACTCTTTCTCCCCGTTCTTCTTATAGGACCCCCTGTCATCTCTTGATTGGCTCTCCTTTCTGACATCTTCCAGCCAATAATTTTCTTCCTATTGTCACTAAGTAGAATATTTGAGGGTTCTGTCATATATTCCTCCCCCCTCTCCTTCTGTGTTTGATCGAGAACTCTTCCACAATTCTCCACAGCGAGCAAAGAACCATATTTTATACATAGTTCTCCAATATATTACACAGTATATTACATTACATACTTTGACATTCAATCTTTACATATTTCTAATTATATTTACCTAAACTTATTACTATATCAAACACCCATGTTAAGGAATACATTACTGTACATCGCATCACATCACATTATCTTATACTATATTGCATTACATTATGTTAAGTTACATTGCATTACATCCCATTACCTTACTTTACCTTACCTTATATTTACATGCATTACCTTCCACTTTAGATCTCTTCAAGTCATTGTGATAAGGCATCAGCTACTACATTGTCTTTTCCTTTTATAGGTTGAATTCGAAATCGAAATATTTCAGTAATAAACTCTATTTTAACAAAAATTACTGTTGCTACCTTTAAGATTATTTAGCCAACATAGAGGCAAATAGTCTGTGCATAGTGTAAAATTTTGACCCCATAAATATAGTTTTAGTTTGTTTATGGCTGAAACAATTGCTAGACACTCTTTCTCTACTGTGGACAAATGTTTCTCTCTGGTTTGTAATTGTTTACTTATAAATGCAACTAGATGTAATAAATAATCTCTCTCAAGTTGACTTAACATGGCCCCTAAACATATATTTGAAGCATCAGTTGTTACCGTAAACGTATACCTCAGAGAATTGTGCTAGCCAACAGGACACATGACCTTTTTATACAACTCTTAACTCCTTATTTCTTTTCTTTTTTATTTTTTAAAATCTCTACTGGATTTTCACTAATTTATGTGAACTCTCCTGAGCCTTTAAAATCTTCACTGGATTTGTGGGATCTCACAGCACTCCCACCAAATACATGACAAGTCCAGCCTGACTAATCACCTTTAACCTGCCCTTTCCTTTCTCTGAGCCCAAATCATAAGAGCCAAAAAGTTTTTAACTTGAAACAGAAAATAAAAGTTCTTAATTTTAAAAGAATAATGACTACAAGGCATGTTCTTGAGCTTGAAGTTACATGTGAGTGAGAAAATATCAACACATCTCTCCAACGCTGGCCGCATTGCATTGGCGGCCCATCTGTCTCCGTGTCACTACCTTGGTCCATGCACTCGTAATCTCAAGATTAGATCACTGTAATACGCTCTACGTGGGGCTGCCTTTGAGGCTGATGCGGAAACTTCAAGTGGTGCAGAATGCAGCAGCCAGACTCCTCAGTGGAGTGAGAAAATACCAGCACATTTCTCCCACGCTGGCCGTGCTGCATTGGCTGCCTATTCGTTTCCGCATCGACTTCAAAGTTTTAATGCTCACTTATAAGGCCCTAAACGGTTTAGGACCTCGATATTTGGCGGAGCGCCTCCTCCCACCAAGGTCTACCCGGATCACCCGCGCGAGTCAGGAGGTGAGGCTGAGGACCCTGACGCTGAGAGAGGCCCGGAAGGAGAAGACACGAAACTGGGCCTTCTCGGCGGTGGCTCCTCGCCTCTGGAACAATCTCCCTCCGGCGATTCGCGCGGCCCCCACGCTGGGCACCTTTAAAACCCAATTAAAAACATGGCTGTTTATTCAGGCCTTCCCTCCAGCCAACTCTTGATTTTTTCTTACTTTTCCTTTTTATTTTTACCGCTGTTCTTGTTTGATTATGTATTTGTCTATGTTTCATTTTGGGAAATTCTTTAAGATTTTCTTCAGGAAGGACCTGTATCTGGGATGAAATCTTCACAGAACAACATGATGTCCTTATCTTTAATAGCATCATAAATAGGGCCATGGCGTTTTCTACATCTCATCTTCTCCATTATTGACCAGTTGTTGAAACAATTGTCTAGCCTACAAAAAGAAGTGCCATATTTCTCTTATGTGCCTTTAAGTTGCATCCAACCTATAGCAATTCAAATTACGTTTCCAAGGTATGTACAATATTTAAGGTATGTTTCTATTACTTTCACTCTCCTCCAGTAAGCAATAACAGGGGTTTTTTGAATAGGGAGTTGAACTCAGGTTTCTTGATTCCTGATCTATAACTCTGTTCGCCATACCTCATTATTTAAGATCAATTTACCTGGGCCAGTCAGCTTGTCCTTTGCTAGCTTTTGCCCATATTGGCACTTGCAGTCTCTAACTTAACCTAACCTAACCTAACCTAACCTAACTCATATTGGCACTTGCAGTCTCTAACCTAACCTAACCTAACCTACCCTAACCTAACCTAACCTAACCTAACCTAACCTAACCTAACCTAACCGTGTTTAGGGAGTTATGCACCTGCATGCACTGTAAGATATTAAAATCCTGACAATTCAACAGTCAAGGTCATCACATAGTATGAAAGAAGAATTTCCTAGGACAAGTGCCCTCATTGCATATGCTGAATCATAATACAGGGACTTCTTTCACAAAATACCTGTTTAGGACCGCTTGGATTTACGACCCTTTATGGGCCTCATAAATGTGTGCTTGCATCTTCACCACATTCTTTCTTCACATGATTTATTAGTCTTGTATACAGTTAATTGCTCCTCACTTATCGACCAATTTGCTTAATGACCTGGTCGTAGGAAAGGAACTTGGTTGTTAAGTGAGGAGTGCCTGTAACAGAAAGCTTGCTGTTATCTTCAGTCATTTGTTAATTCTGTAGTTACATTAACATACCATCTTTCCTTCAGTGAACCTGAGGTGGCATATATGGCTGCCTTCCTCATTTTAAACACTTTTGTACTAGGAAGCTCTGGAGCACTCCTCTGAACTACATGAAAGAATTGTTGGTACCTTACCAAATTCACAGACTTATCCACTAAGTAAAGCTCACATTAAAATATAATAGTTTTTCAAGTGCCACAAATTTTTGTCTTCTTTTATTTTAAAATTTATTTTAATAATAATAATTATATATTTCTTTGGGGCTTTGCCTGATATCACCAAACTATAAACCTAAGAATTCTAATGGATGGAGCCATGGTAGTTAATGTGATAACAAACTGCTGTAACAGTAAACTAAACACACTCCATGTCTACCCTGGACTAAGTAGACGTTTGTATTTTCTGTTATCCTTGCATATCAAGGGCTAACAGTGGGATGGATGGGGGACAAGGAAATTGTCACCAGTGAAACAACCTGGGGGTGCAGTTTAAATAAGATAGCAGAACATATGCTTAAACTGTGCATAATTAACATCCCCCCCCCAGTTACTCTCAGGGTAATAGGTTGCATCCACGTTGATACACACTCCTGCTTAGTCACAATAGCAGAGGGCCCAGTCTGTCGCAATTGTTGAGATTATGTTAATTCCTTGTAGCTCGAAGATGCTGCTGACACTGCTGACACTTTACATGTTTGGGTTCAGCCAGTGACCTCCGCTCCCGACCTTTGCCCTGTGACTGGACACGAGCAGAGGCAGGAGGAGATGATGACTGAGGCAGCAGTCTGGGCGGAGCCTGAAATGGCGATGGTTGTGAAAGGGAGGAGAGGAAGAAGGAATAAACAGGAGGGCAATTGTATCCTCTGGACGTCGTGGCATCACAACCTTTTCTTTCCATGACCGGTTTCACCGACCCACGCTAAAACTTCCATACCTTCTCCTCCTCCCTCCCATCCCCGTCCTAGTTGCCAGTGGAATTTCGGGCGCGCCCCCCCTTTTTTTGAAGGTTTGCCGTGCGCCTGCGCAGTCGTCATCGCTGTCGCCGGTCTGTTTCCCCCCCCTCCCCTCAACCCCCTCCCTCCCTCTTTGGAACAGAATCGTCGTCGTCGTCGTCTTCATCACCCCGTCAGCGGGAAGGAGCAGGCGAGGCGCCGCCGTCCTGACAAGAAGAGTTGGCGAGCAGCAGCAGCAGCAGCCGCCGCCGCCGCCGCTGGTGAGGGAGGGCCGACGCGTCAGCTTGTTCCCGCGCTGGAGGGGGGACGCTGTCCTGTGAGGCCTGGGAGGGAGGGTGGCTGAGGGGAAAGGGGTCCTGAAGGAGGGGCGCGTGGCTGGGACGGGCTGAGGGAAGAACTGCTGGGCGTTTGAATCGCTTCCCACTTGGCTTATGAGTGGCTGGACGGGGAAGGGGCTGTCCGTCCCCCCCTCCCCCGTGCCCGCCTTGGGCAAGGT